GCACTTCCTTGGAGCCGGTGGAGCCCATGCCAGTCCCCCGCCCCAGCCTCCATCCCTGCCTTGCCGCACCTCGGGGAAGAGCTGCTGCCTGCCCCAGTGAGACTCCACCAGCTCCAGGACACTGCTCTGCTCTGCTCCCTGGTCCTGACACCACATGCCTCCTTGCTACCCGAGGCGATGCAGGGGAGCGCAGCAGTGTCCTGGAGCGGGTGGAGTCGCACTGGGGCAGGCAGCAGCTCCTCCCCGAGATGAGGCAAGGCAGGGATGGAGGCTGGCACGGGCTTCACCGGCTCTGATGGGGGAGAGCGGAGCACTTCCCTGGAGCCGGCGGAGCTCCTGGCTCCAGCCCTGGCCCCCGGCCTCTGGCCCCAGCTCTCAGCCTCTCTGCTCCGGCCCCTAGCCCTCGGTCCCCTTCGGTAAGTGTTCCACACTGGACCCGAGGCGGCATGCTGACAGACCCAGGGGGCGCGCTCATGGACCACTAGTCCTTAGAGGGAACGTTGCTCAGCAGTAGCGCTTGCTTTGGTGAGAGAGTGAACTAACCTGATACAGATTCATTGTGTGGTATTCCAGAAGTGTTTACGACATGGACTGCCCTATGCACTTTTAATATCCAATTAGTAACAAAAATAGCAAGTCAAATAATGTGCTTCTAAACATTCAAGGAGTGCTGGATGTTCTATAACAATATTAGGATAGTGAAGCAAGTAAAAAAAAATCACAGGAGTTTGGCTCAAAATCCTTTCTGTTTTAGAATTTTTTTTTTTTTTTGTAACACTTATGGTGTCATCCAATATCTACTCGTGTCAATGGAAAGACTCCCAATGACTTGCATAGGCCCTGCATTGATGTCATAGCAGTCCAGGTTTTCAGAGTGCCAGTGTTGATGAGGTCTGTAAACTCATGGAAAAATGTGTATTATGTAGAAGAAACAAAATTGCTGGACAGTTTGTGTTCTAAAGTATTTCCTTTAAGAAGTTTGGCACCAAAATAGCACTTGCTTTGGGGAGAAAATGAATTGATGATATATTTAATGGCTATAGGTTTAGCTTAAATTAAATTATCACCAGATCTTAACACTTTTTTATATTGCCTTAGTGTTGTCTAGAAAAGGCTTATTCTTTCTAAAAGTTTTCTCAAAAATAAGTAAACTTACCTGGCTTATACACCTTGGTGCGTAACTAGCTCCATTTCTTCCTTTTTATACACAGCAGCCACTAACAGGAGTTGCTGAGAAGCGTAGACTTTGCCGGACAGATCTATACCACATAGTTTTAGTGTATTTTAATTGACAAGTCCTTGCACTAAATATTAACATGTCTAAAAATTTCTCACGTCTTCAGCTATCAATCTGTACGTCGTCTATCTCGGGAATGTGCTGTCTGTCCTCTGGGCATTCATGTGTGGATCATATTTTACTGTGCTTTTAAAAAAAAGGACTTTAATTTTGTTTCTTTATCTCAGAGTACTATTAACCCTGTTGATGCAGTGTACCAGCCTAGTCCTTTGGAACCAGCAGTGATCAACACAATGCCTACCCAGTCTGTCATACCTCCAGGTACAGTATAGACAATGAAGCCTTAGTAGAGAGATTCACGAGCAGGCATATATTCAGCTAGCTTATATTTAGTTTTATTTGATTTACTACTTTCTAGCATGTTTGGTCTGAAAAATTTAAACTATTTGTTAGCAAATTACAGTTAACCTTTTTTTGGGTGGGAACATGGTTCTGTCAGCCATGTACATCTTGGTGCGAGTCGACAGGCTTGCAGACAAGATTATGGAATTCATACCTGTTGTGCTTTAGACATCCTTAAAACAGACTTTTCGAAATACTCTCGTTTAACCAAGCTGCATCTTTAGCTGTATTCACTTCAGTTACAAAAAGATGGTCTCAAATGACTATTTTTCATTTTTTTTTAAAGTTATTGTGTGATTTTTAGTTATCAATTTTGGAAGCTTATTTTCTTCTGTTTATTCCTTTCTTCCCTCTATACTGTCCCTGTGTCAAACCAGTATTGTGCCTAATTTTGATTAATGTATTATTTTTACAAATCAATATAAACACGTTGGTTGTAAAGAAATTGTGCTTTGGGAGAAGTAAATAAACTGTGTGTAGACAGTTATTTTTATTAGCTTATGAAGCTAATAAAAATGAGGAATGGAGGAAATTAATATAATTTTCCTTTTTGAAGTGTGGCAACTTTTGTTACAGATGGGCTGCTGTCAAAGTTGATGTAAAGTTGCTAAGAGTCTCTTAGCAAATCAGGGCAAGGGTTTTGGTGTTCAAGTGTTTTGGGAGTTTTTAGCTTACATATTTTAATATCCTTTAGAACCTTCTCAGTTGTGCAAATCAGAGCAGCGACCATCATCCTTGCCAGTTGGGCCAGCAGTAGCATCACTAGGAAATCAGACTCCAACACCAAATAGTACAGGTAAAGTTCCGTGGTGACTATCTTATCTTGAGTTGCCTTTCCTTTTCTAAAAGGCAGTTGAATTGTGTAGTACTTCCATTTTTGATGTGCCTCTATAAGAAAGGAAGAGCTCATATTACTAGAAGGGTGTTTGTATTTTTTCAAGTCTTTTCCCCGTACTAGCTTACACTTTACATCTGCCTCACTGATCACCTTATCAGGACTTTCACATTAAACATCTCCAACATTAAAATTGTAATCAGTGTGTACCTTTTAAATTATCTCCGCTTGCCTTAACCAAATAGGCTTTTGGAGTATTTTTTTAAACTGCTTTCAACTACATTTCTCACATGTGCCTTTCATGCTGGAAGTCTGTTTAGTATAAATCCATTTTCTCTGCTGCATTGTTGACTCAAGCTATTTGCTTCCCTTATTTGCTTCTCTGCATCTTAATGCATCCATCTCTGTAGCTATTGCCTGACTCTATGGAAATAGTCAACCATGTCTTCATCTTTCTTCCCTTTCTGTGACCTCTAAAGTTTTTCCTCTCCAGTTGTAACATTTCACAGAGCTGTTGTCTACACTTTATTTACTTTTTACATGCAGAAGATCCTAACCAAATCACTGTCCAACTTGAGTGATTGCATGAGATTAACGTTCATTTTGGTATCCATTAAAATGGACGTTCCAACTTCTTTCTGGTCTCGCCATAATAACCTGCTCCTAGCTTGTTTTGCCTGTCCCTAACTTTTCCCCTAATCTTGCCACCATTAACATGAGATTTTTACAGCACCTCCTGTATCAGGAGCAACCTTTCCATATTATCTTTGCTGATTTTGTACTAGTCCCAAAAAAGTAATGGTTTTCAGACAAGTAGTGTATTTCTGATTTAGTATATAATAGTCTTAACAATTCTGCTTCAATACTGTATTCTAGGTTTAAAGTCAGGAATACCTAGAACTTCATAGGAGTGGTACTCTTGAGTTTCCCAAGAATCTAAAAACTACCTGCTCTGTTGAAGGTGGAGTAGGCTGTCCCCAAAACCAGACAAAAAAGGAGTTAAGAATGCAGCTTAATTCAGCACTGGAACAGCAGCTAACAGGAAATAAGACAACGCCTTCTGTTTCCCATTTCTTAATGAATGAACTAGCCAGTGGGATTTCAAAATTGTGCCAGTATTCATTTTTTAGTTGAGTGTCATTGTGGTCTTTACAATATCTAATTAGACTTCTTTAAATTTGAAGTGGTAATATGCAAATCATTTATGATGCAGGCCGTCACTGACTTCATGAAACTTAATATTTAAGAAAAAATAAAGCTGTCTTGTTTTGGTTTTTTTTTCTTTCCAGTTGTCATTTGTTCTTCCCTATTTGTTCTTTCTTCTTTTTGTCTCTATTATGATCAGAAACTGTAAGGAATTGTCAGACCTGAGGTCCTTGTAGTCCAGGGGTGGCCACAAGTGGCATGTGGCAAATCTAGGAGGAAGCAGGTAACAGCAACAAACAAGGCAGGAAGCATAAAGCAAATCAACAGGTCAGGCAGGGAGAAGAAAGTAGAATAACAAATTGGGCAGAGAATAGAGCACAGAGCAGGAAGCAGAACAGCAGATTGGGCAGGGAAGCGAATTGCAGTGGGGCTTATCTTGTGGCATGCCTCCCAGAAAGGTTAGCTAGCCCTGGCATAGTCAGTGATCCTCCCCACCAGTCACCAGCATCAGTTGTCAGAAGAAGCTGTTAAGCACCCAGAAGTAGAAAAAGGCAGGATAATCTGCCTCTCTCCATCAATTCTCAGCCTTATCTCAGATTAGTTTGAGCTCAGAGGTACAAAGTTTTAGTATCCCCTTTGCAAAATTTGTTGTTATCAAGAATATCTAGTATTACAGTTTAGTAAACGCATCCACTCTTTCTGAAGCCTGAATCCTTCACCCCAGTTGCTTCCGATGGCTGATTTATGCAACCCTGCAGTTAAGTTGTGGAAGAAAAATATTTCCTTGTATTAGGAGACAGAACAAATGACAAGGTAGGAAGTTCAAAATGAATGCAAGAAAAAGGTTTCCCACCTTTTTTTTTTTTTTTTAAGACCGTTCATTATTTTGTATGCTTTTATCATGTCCCCTCTTATTCATCTCCTTTTAATGAGATGAGCGCTAATCCTTTTCTAGTGTCTTTGACGTCTTTCTAGGCCTTGATCATTCTTGTTTTACCCTTCTCTGAATCCTCTACTCCTATGGTGTCCATTTTGGGATGAGCTGGTCAATGATGTACATGCTATTTTAGGTGAGGCTGTACCATTGATATGCATCAGAGTTGTTACGGTAATCTTAGACTACCGTGTCCAGTTTTTGGCTCCACAATTTAAAAAGGACATGGAAAGGTTAGAGTTCAGAAGTGGGTGAGAAACCATGAAGGATTGGAAGGCAAGCCTTGTGAAGAGAAGCTGAAAGAGAGGAGCATGTTCAGCTGGCAGAAAAGGCAATTAAGGGTGGGTGAGGGACATGATAGCAGTTTTCAGATATCTGAAGGGCTGTAATAAAGGAGAGCATACCTTCTAGTCCATTGCAGTAGAGCAGGACAGCAGTAGCTTGAAGTTGTGACAGTAGGTTTTAGATTGGACATCAGGAAAAACGTCTTCAGTTAGGTAGTAGGAGAGGCAGCTTAGGAAAGTTGTGGAATCTCTCCCACAATAGGGAAGAGCAAGATGAAAGACTGGGGCTTGCAGAGG